TGGTGATGGAATATGAAAGTTTGAGTTTGTTTGTTGCAGTATTAAGTATGTATGTTCAGAATCATCCATCAAATTGCACTATTTATTGTAAAAATTAAGAAATATCGAGAAATGAAAATGGATTATTATAAAAATCCCCCTATAGATTTGGATTGATCTGACGGGAAACGTCAATTTGTCATGCCAATCAAACCTCAAATAAGTTTGAAATTGTCGAAGTGACAGACACAGCGTTACTGTCATTTTCGATTCAGTGAAAATGCCATAATATGGCCATAATGTGATCAAAAACTTCTAGCTATAGGGATTTGATACAGAGGCGTTATCACCAACGAAGTCTTAAGAAAGGTATGAGAAGCTATACACGCGTTTTATTGAATGGTGCAACAATAAAGAAATGAAAAAACCGAATGAAGAATATGTATTTTTGGCTCATTTCATAGAAGTGTCTGGAACCTAGAGACCAAACTCCTAATGGGCCTGCTGGCTTCCGCAATGAACCAACATAATGCGTCAAACTGTAAGTTCACAATAGTTATTACTAATAATTAATAAATAGAGAATAAATATCAATATATCTCTTGTTAGTTGTTCCTATTAGCTTGAATAATTAATTGAACGATTCGACCAATTTCCCATACGCTTGTAGAAAAAATATTGTTCCTAACTCATGCGGAAAGTTTCTTTCCCGCACTCGACTGCTTGACCGAACTCCGCTTCGCGTCGTTCGTGTCAACGGCAGTCACGTGCGGGAAAGAATCACTTTCCGCACTTGTTAGGGAAATTACTATATTCTCCGGGCATACTGTTATCTGGACACTCTATTACTCTGAAAGTTGACAACGTATTGTGTTTTCCAGGACGCAAAAAACAAGACCGATATTTAGTGTTTCTTGTAAGTTCGTGGAAGTTCCTGCAAATAAATAATGAGCTCTGGGCCAGAATTAGGCGATAAATTCCGGTTGGGTCCCGGATTTGCCCCTTAGATTTTCGCAAGAGGCATTCGAATGATCGGATTATTGCCACCATTTGTTTTCACAGTAGCTGAAAAAAAAAACGGCGATAGGTGGAACGGAAGAGTCTGATTCACCAACCCGTATAATATTCCTAAAGAACGGCAATTCTCTGGGATTCTTTACGTATATAGAAGCATTTCCATCAAGAACTCGAAGAGTTCTAGAAAATCCAATACCCTCTTCACCTTCCTATAGTATTCCTGAGTTCAAAGAATCATGTTCTACGTGTTTTATAGAAATTGTCTTTCGTGCGTCCCAAAATATGAGTGCAAACATTCTCTAATAGGTATAATAGCGTTGTTATTGTAGTAAAATCGTTTGCTCCTTGCTCAACCTACACGATTGGCGAAGAAAAGTATGATTATGACGCACAGTTTACAGCGTTGCCATTTTCAAATCCATCTCTCTCTATCTTATTTGTAACTGGAAGTATGTGATATTGTTAACAGATATTTTTTTATTAATGAAATGTTTTGTCTCCCCCCTTCTTATGCGTCTATGGGGAAAACTCACCAAACCCCTAAAAACCTTTCAATTGATGAGGAAACCAACAATAATTGAACCACCAACGGGTTCACACGGATGCAATGTTATAAAGACACAAAAACGTATCCATTCTGGCATGTACTTGCACACGACGTTATTCACCTGATCTAGGCGGAAGAGAAGAAGAAAAACCAATTTCTTTTTATTTTTAATGAGAATGGAAATCGGTGTTTCTCTACCCTTGGTCAGTGACATATTCTTTTTTAAAAAATATTTTGATTATTCTCATTTCATATTCATAAGCATATCCTCATTATTGTATTCTAACATGAAAATATCTTCTTCTCTATTGTTCTATAGTATATGCATTCTCGTTCCTGTTGGGTTGTCAGCTACTGCCATATTTTGTCACTTGCCACTTGTCTTTCTCATTGACTTGTAACGTGTGACACATGTCTGATGTGATCTTTCCGCCTACGACAGAAGAATTCCATCGTGTGCAAGTATACATGCCAATTTGAACACGTCTCTGTGATTCTATAACATTGCATCTATATGGTTGAAAGTTTTGTAGGGGATTCCTAGGTTTCCCCATATGAGTTGTTAGAATGAAACCCCCCCCTCCTCCCATCCTACAAGTATTCCACATTACATTTTCTTATATTCATGTGAGCACTCTCAATCATATAAATCTTGGAGGTTGTACTAATCACTCATTTCAAGTTTAAAACATTGATGTAATTTCTGATGTTAGGCTGAGAATGGAAATCTACCAATTTCAAGTGATATGTTAATTCTATTTGTCATGGAGATGACTTTGTGTATCGCATTTAGTATTGTGAAGAAGTACACAAATGATGAATTAACATCACTCAAACTCTCGTTCATTTCAAGATCTTTTATCATCAATCAACTTTTCCAAATTATAAAACTCAGAACTCAGTACATTGTAGTTTCGATCAGGTCAGCGGAGTTCATAGACGTCATTTCCTTCATAATTCACAAAAAAAACGCTTATACCTAGGTAAGCGGTATCGAAAGGTAACGACCGTTCCCATGTGGAAAATTGCGATCCTAGCATCGATTCCGAATATAAATAGTATACCCGAATCGATAAGGTATGGTCATTATCAGTTCGGTCATTATTAGTTCAATCGTACATATAGCACTCATTCATTGATTGCTGACTTCCAAAGTGGCACTGTGTCACTTTGGGACTGTGACATCTCCTCGACTTTGGTGCTGCTGCCCATAACATAATGTAAGTACCAAGAACCATAATCTTGTTTCTGTTGTTTGCTCGTTTCATGTTTGTTATTTGCTGTTCCACCCTTTCGGCACATTTTTTATATTTTCATGATTGAATGAATTGCTTGTTGTACTTTTGAAAACAATTCTCTTCATTTGGGGATGAATATGGTTGGGTGGTGGAATGATCAAAACCTCTCGTCAAAAAGCCAAGCGAGTATCTGAGTCACAACCTATAGGAGTGTCAACATCTGTAATGCGACACGTGGTGGAGCCGCAGTTTCTTCTCAATAATGCCATAAAACCTATACTAGAACCATCTGAGTTGCGACAGTATTTAATACTTCAGTACACTTTGAGAAACCATGGACTTCACCAGAGATTACTCAGGGCCTACTCTATCTCACCGGGCCGTAGTCTATCTCCTCGCTCTCGACGCTGACGTCACACTAGTAGGTTAAGATTTCACATCAGTCCGTACTGGTGCGTTCGTAATTGATAGGCTATACCTCATTCACTATAAATTTTAGAAGTACACTCAATCGAGACGAAATGATCTCCAACAAATTCCTCAACTTTTGGTGAAAAAATGAATCCAATATGATGAATCAATACCGAGTTATGGCGTTGCAACGAAATTCCATTTTATCAATATATCAAACTATGATAATGAATCAATTGAATAGTGTAAAAATTGTTACCTACAATGAGTCCGAAAGAAATTAAATATAAAGAGCGCGTAAAAAATGGGCCATTATACCTACCAACCCAAATTTCGCTGTATTACGATTTCGCGGTGATTCCTTGGACTGGTAAAGGGCGATATACTTTTTATTACTCATTTCATTTCTAAATGGCGTATGGTTCAGACCAACTAATATTGGTGTCTGAAAAATTCGAAACAATATTTCTACAATGTGAGTCACACCATAAAAATTTTGGAGAATGCAGCAGAAATTAAAATCAATTCCCTTCTCAATTATTCCGAGAATCAATGTTGCAGTTGTGGGTCTCTTGATGGAATCAGCAGAACATTCACTAAAACCATTTCAAATATTCTGTTAAACAATTATTGCAAAATAAAAAAAAATAAAAGAAAAATCAATAAACTTTCGATCAGGATGAGATATATTACAGATTTCAATTCTTAGTTTGTGATTTAGATGATGTATATATATTTCTTGTTATTAGTGTATTCAATTTTGTGATATCTACCAATTTTTTTAATTTTGTTATGTTGATCATTTCTACAGTTTATTTTGTTTGATTTTGTTTGTGTATAAGGATTCAACGTTTTTTTTTCATTTTCTCCTTATTCATTCATATATCGTTTTTCTGGGTATTTTGTTATTCAGTTCTTTATATTCATTTTTATATCTCTCATTGTTGAAATACATATTTTTTCAATTATTTTTGTTAGGTTGTGTTCATATGAACCCCACATATTTTGTTCTTTTTAATTTTGATAGTTTGCAAATGTATCCAAATCAAATTTTTTTCATGAATTTAACGTTATTATTCAAATATATACTCTTCAGCAGAAAATACTTAATACCGAATAGGCGCTTTTGTGTAATAACACACTCGAGTGATAGGATTTCTACAGTCATCAAAGTGCGTCCTGATCTTTAGAGATAAACGCTGCTAAAACCCTTCGAGATAAAGTGGATGTGTATCATACCGATTTGTAGGCAATAAAATTTACTACAAAAAAGTCAGTGACAGCATATATCCATTGTTGATAGGATTAGCATGGGAGGCGTCCAAACTTTTCGAACTATTCTGAAATGAACACCTGAATCATCGTTCTACTTGAATTGAAATATCGGTTTGTTGTTGGCCCTTGGGAATTTGAAAAAAAAAACTCAGTCAATCTAGATTGAAATGATTAAATCATTTCTGTGAATTAAACATTGGAATTTTGGTAGCTGTTTGAAAAAGGACAATTCTGAATGGCCTCAATTAATTTTGATATGCCATATTTCTGAAATTAATGATCGTAAATCAGTGAAATTTGATTCATCTTCTGGAAAATTCTGTTCTGTACATATTTGACCTCTTGATATTTTTCGCTAACTGTGACCGTTTTCCCGAGGTGAATCAATGAAACGGGAAAGACAATTTCCACTGCTTTGATTTTGTCCCTACTAGTGTGACGTCACGAAAGCGATGCTCCGGCCCGGTGAGATAGAGTAGGCCCTGGATTACTCCTTGTGTAATTATTCTTCTTGGGTTGAAGGTACCACTCACCCCCGCCATATCTGACGATCGCAGCCTTTTTCCTCAACAGCTTGTACTCCATGACGTAGTCGAAGTTGTAGCCGTTCTCCACCTTGGACAACCTGAGCAGATTCACCGCCACCGTGACGCTGCTGGTCTCGCTGTAGTAGACGGCGGGGCCCCACGAGGTGCCGCACCAGGAGCCCCCCACGCGCGGCCTGTCCGCCTCTGTTATGTGTAAGGCACCGTCGGGACAGCCGTCGGACGTGAAGGACACGAAGCGGCCCAGCGTGAAACTGTCGAACGTCAACTGAAACGAAAATAGTAGATTGTTTTATTAGGATCAAAAGTGACACTTTGTTCGAAAAACGAATTCTGAATGAACACATGAACTTATGTGAGGGATTTTAGCACAATTGACAATGAAATATAACTATATTCGAAAACTCTTGGGGAGTTGGTTTCCCGAAACGAGGTAGCGATATACAAATCCCACAAATTCTTTATTTATATTATCTAACGGTTGAAATTAATATATTCAATTGGAGAATCGATTGGACTATAGAAAAGTTTGAGAGTTTGATGTTCTTCTCCAATATTTATATGTTCAGAAATGGACATACAATGATATCATTTCTGCCTTATAGAATCTCCTAGAATAGATTTCCCTATTATACATAGGAAACATAGTTACATTCACATGTCTGATATGTTTTGTTATATATAATTCCTCAACGAAAAGAATGGTACATACTTCTCTATCTAAATACAATCAAATTATAATGTCAATATCTTCCTAATTAGCACCAAACAAATTATTAATCAGAAATACTACAATGTACGAACATTTTCAGCCCTCTAGATTTCTTTATGAAACAATTTGAATCAGATTTGAGTAGAGCAACGAATTTTCATCGATTCAACTTGGCAACAATGCGCTACCGCTTGTTCGGAATCTCCACGCGTCCCACACATTCTGGTATATTGACAGTCTGTCGATTTACGGTTCTGAACTTTCACTGGTCTGTCAATGTACGGTTCTGCCATTTTTCGGTTCTGCTATTTCACGAGTCTCAATCCGAAAAATTCTGAAAATTCTCGGGTCCGGTAGCTGCACGATTCTGCCATTGTACGAGTCTGTCATTTTACGATTCTGCTGTTTTACGGGTCTGCAGTTTTACGCTTTTGATGAATTATGGATCAGAGATTTTGGTAGTCCGATGAAATACGAGTCTGTCGATGTACAGGTCTTGCGTTTTACGGATCTAAAGTATTGACAGTCTGTGCTTTCACCAGTCTGTCATTGTACGGATCTTTCATTTTACGTGTATCAAATATCGACAGTCTGTCCTTTTACGGGTATGAACTTCTCGCTTCCTGTCATTTTCAGATTCTGTACATCACAATTCAGTTTGCTGATCGGGAATGTTCATTCTGATGAAATGGTTGTCTACAGAGTACGAGTCGCTGAATTGCAGTATGTGCTTTTACGGTTCTATGACTTCACGATTATATATTTCCATGATTCTGACGACATGAAGAATATTTTATTTACTGGTTTGGCAAGATACACTTCTGAATATATGGCAGTCTTTCGATATACGATTGTGATTTATGCATTCTGACATAAAACTGTCTGTCAAAGTACGGTTCGACAAATTACGAGTTGTACATATTGCAGTCGCTGAAATATAATTCTGATGATTTGTTATTCTGATTTCTTACTATTCTAGTCGAATAAATTCCTACTAATCGACGGTCTGTGTCGAAACGTTCTGATGATATGTATATGGACCCGTATTTGTCTCTGTCATGTTACAATTTCACCATTTCCATCATTCACTAATTTAATATCCATGATTCTCAACCAACGAATATACAGGGTGTTTCATAATTGAATGCTGATCCTAAAGGGCGATAATCCTTGGGTGATTTTGAGAAAAATTCTTCATGTGAACATATGTCCGTAACAGCTTCATTTCTGAGATACAGGATGTTGAAATTTAACAAAAAAATCAGTTATTCCCCAATATCTCTGAAACCGCTCTGGCTTTTTTCTTCATTACGAATACTTAAAAATAGTTACCATAAAATTTTAAAAATATTGCTTAGATCTTTTGGTTACCACAATTGTGAGATTATGACTAAGAGTAAAAATCGAATAGGGACAAGCAAATTAATGCATTTTATTTTTTAACTCAAAAACCGTTTGCCAGAAGAAAAAAAGAGAGGAGACCATTTTTATGAGAAGATAGAGGATAATTACGAAAATGATATGAATTTGGAAAAAAGACAGTGGCGTATCATTATTTTGATGAAAAATATGACAGGGTATGTTAACAGGGACGCCACTGATGGAAATTGAGAAACCCTTCATTATATAAAAAATGTATTTCTATTCATACTTGGCATGTACCAAACTTGAAGAAAAAAGACAGAGCGGTTTCAGAGATATTGGGCAATAACTGATTTTTTTGTTAAATTTCAACATCCTGTATCTCAGAAACGAAGCTGTTACGGACCTATGTTCACATGAAGAATTTTTCTCAAAATCATTCAAGGATTATCGCCCTTCAGGATCAGCATTCAATTATAAAACACCCTGTATAAGAATAATGATAAAATTTTTGGGAGACATCAACGCCGTAGATGAAGGAATTCCCGTTTCTTGTGATTGTCTTCAATTTCTATTCATTATTAGCTTGTATGCGAAAAATGCTGAACATGTTTTCTCTTTACTGTCAATTCTCATGTCACAATAATAATCACAAGTCATTTTCATTTATTGTCATTCCAATTTTCAATCCTTCTTATGAAAATGAATGCGAATGGGAATGAAAATGGGTTTGAATGCACAATAAAACATGTACAGTGCCAAGAACCGTATTGAGTTATGGCACAACAGAACGCACCTTTTCTCTTCCGCAATATTTGATGCGTCCTGTCCCTAGACGCTCCCGTTGCTGTCAGTTGATGCTAATAGCCGAGCGGGAAAGCATGTCAGGCTGTCAAGTGATGTGTCCACTTGCCCAGTTCAATTTCCGGTCAGTAGTGGCGGATTTACAAATTTGCCACCAGTAGGCTGTTCAATTTTTGCCGCTCCTATATACTGATGGCTTCTGAAATTCGATAGCATTCTCGCGAACATAATATTGATTACATTTATTCTGTCAATAACATTGCAACTTTATGATTTGTGCTCTATTAGTAGGAGATGTACGATGAAATATGGTATGAAATATGGTAAATTATCGTGTGTAGCCGAACACATCATGTTTAATCACAATCATAACACACATATACTCATTAATAACCTCAAACTTGTTACGCAAGTTGATAATGTTAGGATATCAGATGCTCATGAAAGTTTAGAGATATTTGAGAATAGTAATAGACTAATGAATAAGTATAATGCACCAATTCTATATAGCCTTCCGTAGAGTTTAGTGATATAAGATTGGGGTTAACATGTGAACTGAGCCACGACAAATATAAACTTATAGCGGTTCGTGTCTTTCACGGTTGGGTCAACTTAGTATCTATCATAGAGGGTGTTTAGTTCACCGACGTATATCCGGAAGGAGGTGGTAGGGTATGTGGTTTCGAACATATTCAACCATATATACTACTATACAAAGTGCTGTCTATATGTCCATGTGCTACACTATTAGAGATATCGCTCATGAATCAAAAGTTGAATGTTGAAAAAATTGTTTTTTGAATTCTAACGGGAGAAAACATTTAGAAACCATCACGTGTTCAATATCGATGCAGTACATATTCACCTCCTTGAGAAAAAAGAAACAGGATCAGATGGAATGTGTGAAATAAACGATGATATGTGGATATTCTCAACACTCTTGTTTTATGTACAGAGTGTAAATTTGACTGTAAAATAAAATGCAGAATGGAGATCTATTTCAAGAGATGTGTTCCAAAATGTTAGAATGGCATTCGAACATCGATTATACTATTGCTCACAACAGAATGGAATGCATTTTGAACATCTGATCAAATAAAATATCCTTTTAACACAATTCATTTTATTTTAATCGACTTCATGTTTTTCGTTCACCCTGTAGTGGGTAGAAAAAAAGTCTTGTACAGGTGAATAATACTTACTGAGACCGTTCAATTGAGCTATCATAAATGAGGTAGGTAGTGCCATTTGACATTTCAAAGTTGGGGTGTGTCGCACCGACGGGGTGGCACATCCCTTCACTGAAATATGGTGGTTCTAGTTCACCCTAACTTTTTAGCATTTTCGCCAAAAGGAGTTTCTCTAACTTATTTATTTTGCGAGATATTCGCATTGGAAGTTTTCAAATTTACACCCTGTTTATGGTTGAATATGTTCGAAATGTTCTCACTCCCTTTCAGATTTACAGTCGTATTCAATAAAAAAGCGTACAAGTATTAATAAGAGAGGATTTCGGGATCCTAGTTTTAGTTGTGTAAAACTAGCTCAGCCAATGCTTTGTTTTCGAGAACCTATGACAACTTTACTGTCAACATTTGGTGAACAATCATTCCCGATAGCCCGTTTTATGCAGATAAGGATGGAGTTAATTTCTCTTTGTAATATACTTGTACGCTCTTTTTTTGAATGCGACTGTACGTCGGTGAATCAAACACCCTTTATGAGGAGCTCACTAGAAAAGAATATTTAGTTTGAATCTTTACCCAAAGATGCTGAGATAGTTAGCATCATTATTATCATTTTTTTTTTGTCCATGGCTTCGACTACTATGGTCATTAGCCTTCATCTTCAGGTTTTTCATACTGGTTATTTTCTACAGGTGGGTAAGTAACTGTGTATCATCATTATCATTATTAGCGTCATTATCATTATGATAATTAATATCATTATTTCCATTATTATCATTATTGTTATTATTATTATTTTAGTTCATATAATTCCAGTCACGACCCTGCGGCCTCCGACGTCACGCAGAGTCGTGCTGGATAAAATCCAGTGACTACTCCTCATAGCCTGTGAGGTGAATAATCACTGGGACCAAGTACCGTGTGCCCTGAGTAGACGCAATGATCCTAGTATGACGGCCATCTGCATTCCACCAGCCAGGATGTGTGCCTTATCATGGCACGCTTGTATTTTCTGGATCTCCTAGAGCAGCATGTGTCGTGTGCCTCCTAGGAAGCCGATAATCAGGATGACCAATTCCACATAATGGTCTGGATAGAGTCGGCGGAGTTCGAAGAGAAGATCTCGATATTTAGTCCGTTTCTCCTCCTCCTTCGAGACGATGTTCGGTTCGGCTGGCGCCAAAAACTCGATCACGAACATCG